CCACCACCACCACCACGTCAGTTCGACGCCACCCAGGTTGAGGTTTTCGGAGCTTGGCTGCTGACGTTGGAGAAGGCAGACGGCAGCAGCCTAAGTTTCTCGGCACTTAACACTCATAGAGCTTGTCTATTTAACTTATATCGCGTCTACGGGCGTGAAATGTCACCACGGATGGAGAAAGAGATGCGTCAGTACTTTAAAGGGCTCAAGACTGGTAAGGACTCTCTATCGTTCGATTTATACCGGTACCTGTGCGAGCGGCTACTTCAGTACCCAGCCAAAGACATGATTTTTGCGCGGACATACATGACTGTTGCATGGAATCTTATGTGCAGATCGGCGAACGCATTTGGTATTCGTCACACCCTTATCGAGTGGAGTGGAGACACCTTGTGCGTGTATTTCGCACACCAAAAAAAAAGACCAGGACGGAAGCAGGCCTCGTGACCCTCCGCACATTTACGCAACCCACTAAGACCAGAGTTATGCCCAGTTCTTGCTCTAGCCGTGTTTTGGGCAACAGCATCTTTAGACGGCGACGACCGCCTTTTCCCTGGTAGCAACCAATGTGAACGCTTTCGTAAGTGTTTGCAGCGGCTCTTGATAAGTGGTGATGTAGCCGATGAGCTACGCCGACGTGGTGTTGATAAGGACGAGCTGGGTACGCATTCGATGCGTAAAAGAACAGTAGCGTATTGTGCATCTACATAAATAGTAGCAGGGCTCCGTGATATGGCATCTATAATCTATTATCTCTTAACAAACGCCTCAACATAATAATGCCATAATTGCTAATGCTTAGTTGCGCATTTTACGCTTCACAGCTTGAATGGTGCCTACATCCCAGGCATCCCTATTATACGAAAGAAACATTAGCACTTCTAGAGTGTTCACGTCCATGCTCTGTCGGAGATCCGAGTACACCAGCTTAGCCTGTGAAAAGAACCTCTCGCACTCGTTCGACGTGGGGGGCACCCACGCCAGCGGCATGTACGATGTCGCTCCCTTGACAGCTTTCTTGAACACCGGTGCTAAGAATGAGCGTGAGTTTGTCTCTGGTGCGGGGTCAGCGACTGGTTTCTTAAACATCTTACAGGCTTCTTGTTCGCATGCAGAAAGCCGAGTCCCCGAAATAATCTTGGCGATCCCGCTCTCCAGCGCCGGATAATTGAGGATTGCTGCGTCAGGTGACAGGCGTGCTTTCATCGAGGGGTATTGACGCCCCACCCAGTCAAACGCTCGTCGAGCACCCACCGTTGTCAGCGTGGAGTCTTGCAACGCTTTGGTAACTTCGTTTAGGTCCATGAGAGACTCGAGTAGCGACTTGGCGCGTGATGATTCATCTTCATCCAACAAAAAGCTAACGATGTCATGCTTGGCTATGGTGGCGTGGTCCATGGAAAGAAGGGCTGGATGCAACTTGACGTAGCGTTCAACCATGTTGAACGTGCTGGACCAGCGGGTGGCATTACGTAGCACGGGGGCCAACGGCGTCACCTTTCGGAGTGCCGCGCGACACTTGATAGTGCTGAGATGCTTCATTAGGGCATGTATTTTAGCCAGTAGGACCTCCTCCGCCGCCAGAAAATCCTTAACAGCCAATTGGAACGGGTGACTTGCGCAGCCAATAAATGGCAGAGCGCCAATTTTTCGACCAATTGCCTGGTTGACAGAGCAATTATCACCAATCATGAAGAGCACGCTCTTCCAGGGCTTGTTGTAGGTGGAAAGCGTGTCCGCAATGAGATCAAAAAGACTCTGTGCACCCAAGTCTTCTTCGTCGCCCAGCGGGCAAAAAGCGAGTAGCACGTAGCGCCGACTAAGACACTGGATATTTTCATCATAATTGGGGTTTCGTTGGCTTGGCTGGGCAACAGAGGCATCATCAAAGACATCCATTATTGTCATGAAATGGCGTCCACCGCGGCTCCAGCCATCTAAGGCGAGCCCAAATGCGTCAGGCAGCGTAGCAGCAACAGTTTCACGCACATGCAAATACACCAGGTCTAGATACTTTTGCAGCGTCTCAGCAGAAATAGGGTCCATCTTCACATTTTTGCGAACAAGTGGGCGCTCGCAAAAACTGACGGGCATGCGCTCCATCACGCACCACTCAATCCATCGAAAAATGTCGTTGGTGCGCTGGTCTGGAAGAGTCACACCAAACCGATTGCCCTTGCGAAATGCAGCCACGGCCAAGTCGTGATAGTCGGGGTGGCGCTTGAGCAAATGATGCACCTGATTGGTGTAGCCATTGCCGCTCTTGTACACCTTGCTACAGGTGTTGCACCGAGATTGACTCGGAGATAAGTCGGTGAAGAGCAGGGAGCAGAGGTCCTTGTTGGTGACCTTCATGGGAGCTGAGACGACAGGGAGGTGGCTGGGTTCAGAGCTTACAGAATAAGTTTGAAAGTGAGGTACTGGGGTGTCATGAGGATCAAAGGCTATTCTCAACCATTCTTTTAAAGTACTGGCTGCAAACGATTTAGGTAGCTGTGAGCCGGTAATAACTTGGATTAATTATACCAGTTGCAAGTAGGGAAATCACTTAGTTAAAATATACCAATTTCAAGCTGGTGAATCACTGGCTAAAATATACTATAATATGGGTAAAACATGTTAAAATATAGTGATGACCTCTCAATACTAATTGCATTATCAATATGATAATGTATTAAAAATTATATGCTATCTTCGGCAGCCCTGAATAGTAGTAGGAATGAGCACCCCAAAAAATGGTTTGGTGACAGATACGTACTTATATTTTATAAACATGAGCGATACAAAGTACGTGGATATAAAACAACTTGATTCCGGGCAATACATGAAAAAGATAGGAGGGGGGGGGGGGGGGGTATCAAAGAGGGTCTCCATTTAATAATATTTTCAGTGGGGACTCAACTTTCACCTTTTCATTTCTACGCGCTCCTGGATATGCATTTTTGGTTTCTAAGCTAAAGACTACAGCAAAAAAATCTCAAGCAGCCTAGGTGTGCGCAAACGTACCACACACGGCATAACTGTCACAAAAGCGCGGGCTAAGGACTGTCGGCGAGGAGACCTTCACAATCAATATTGCCACAATCACAATAGTGGCATTCAATTTTGCAACAGCAAGCCACAATTCTTTCCTGCGTTCTGATTGGCCCAGGTTGCTTTTCGCGTTCTGCAACAAAAACCGATACTTGTCGAGCTGCAGCATTGTTTTCTTGATCCCATACAAACGTCTCGGTGTGAATTGGGCGCAAGGGCGTCTTGGTGGTGTCGATGGAAGGTGAAGCTGAAGCTACGTCTTACGAGGATGAGAACCTCAACTCTGTCAAGCTCCGAGAAGAGTCTGCTGACGAAACAGCGAATACGGATTTGTCAAACCATGTTGTGCCATTAATGAATACATGCTGCTGGAAGGCTGCAAAAGGACGACAAGTTGAGTGGAGGGAGTGCTCTTCTTGAATGCCAGCGACCAGGCTGCAAGCGTCCTGTCCACGCGGCATGCGCAGCGAGCATGTTGACCTCGTTTGGTACTAGTAGCGCATTCGAGGGGATTCCATGTGGAAACGCTGCTACAATGCCCTTGTAAAGCTGCCAAGTTCTTCTGCAATGCAAACGAAGAAACGTGTGGATCTTTTTTTTTTTGGTATGGCAACGAAGCCGAATAACGGTGAGCGCTTCATTCGAAAGTCTTTCAAGAAGTTCGTGTCAGACGTGTGCTCGCGATTGTAAAGTAGCTTGTGCCAGCGATTTTTTCACTTCTGGTAGTGAGACGGCCGTGTGGAAAACGAGTGCCCAAGATGTGCTCATTCTTGTGCTCCCAAAACTCGTCCAGATCGTCTTCATCAGATTGTTCGTCGCTCAGCACATCTCGTATCAGGGCTGAAGCCTCCCTCGTCACGAGGACGTTTTGCACGTGGCATTGCAGTTGTTTACGCTTGGAGCAGCCAGGCATCCTAGATTGGGGGGGGGAGTAAATATTGGATCCTAGTCCAAATGAGCTGCTGCTGCAAGAAGTTTGCAACGGGGTAGTCAATTGCGACTTTGATTGGCTAAAAATGCTACATCGATAGCGCCGCCAAAACAAAAACTGAGGTGCTGCTGCAAAATTGAATACCGCTAATATCTTTGTAAAAAAATTGGAATACTTGTAAATTCGTATAGTGATGCTGGATACTCATTTGGGTGCGGAATAGAGGTTTTGTAGGGAAACCCCTTCGTTGTCATTGTTGTCATTGTTCGCCTTGCTTTCAACAGCACAAGACCTTCCCCTGGCATATTCATAATCAGCGATCTACACACACTAGTTGACGGCACAACAACCTCACATTAAAGGTTGTAGCTGATGATGTCGAGCGAACCCGTCGGTAATTTGATCCGTAACAACCACTAGAATCATGGTAAGCGAAACGAAAACGATGCTCGTGATAAAACACCTTGGATTGGGGAGGGCGCCAGTTTAATAGAGGTTTTATTTTAATTATTATGAAAACCGCTTCGATTATCCCACACTTTGCACTAGTATAAATCTAAAACAGATTCACAAAAAAGGACATATAATTGTGGTAAAATGTCGAATAATTTGAATTATGTAAGATAATTCATAGATGCCCTCGATGGAAAAGCTGAAGCTCATGCATGTCCACAATTGTCTCCTGCGGGCAAGCACAGCTTGGATGCATCGATATCCTGCTACCATGGCGTCATCCAAAGTAATTTCACAACAGTAATTGACCGGTTTGCCTCCGCAACTTCATCAATCTCTATGGAAATGCATGCACGAGGGGTCTCTGTTTTAGACATGTCGTCTTTTTTGCGGTGACCTGGTCTTGGACCGCCGAGAAGACATCGGACATTCAGACCGATTTAGAGATAAATCGACCGTTCAGATGGATTTGTAAATCAAATCAGCAGAACACACCAGTGCATAAATCACCTTGGAAATATGATGTGGCGTCTCTAAATACTTGTGACCGGTCTGATTTATAAATAAAACCAAGCTTCATAGTCTAATTAAGACTCTAAATGGTCGGATTTGTAATTGGATTAAGACAGTAAGACAACACTTATTGTTTTTAGGTGTATCGTTTTATTACAAAGTTGCGCCTTGCACAAAAAGATTAATTTTGGTTTTGCGTCCAAAATGTGCCCAGTCCCAATATTTTTGAAATTAATCCAACAGTAAGTAGTTTTGTGAGGAATGACTAAACGGTCACTAGCAGCGTAGACGACAGCCCCGGTGAGAGGTAATATCAACTTGGGTGTTTATATTGCTAATGATTGAAAGCCGCACATTGAATATTATATTAGATATTTTAAATCCAAAAATAGTTTAACCATCAAGTCGCCAATATATAGTTAACATTTACTCTCCAAGTGCGTATGCATGTATGATCGTGAGCATACCAGTATGCTCGGATAAAAAATAGTTTTTGGAGAAGTGAACAACATTAGAATGCTATTGTTAGCCTAGCAATGAAGACAAAGGAATCGACGGCGTTCTCCTTTTCTACGGGCTCAAACGCACTCGGGAAAAGTATGATGATGCAGGTCGGATCTCGCGTTGTTGGAAAAACCAATCGAACTCGCGGAAGGATTGGCATCGTTCTTGGCGTGAATACAGAAGGCTGCCAACGCAAGTTTGAGGTTGAATGGTCATGTGGAGCTCGCGAGATCGTATCTGCACGGTCGATTTCTCTCACCGCAGTACAAGAACCGCAGCTAGAGCGCGAAAACGCCTCGAATGTGTCAACTTCAACCTTCACAGATCTTCTGCTTGGAGTCAACGAAGGAGCATCAATAGATATGGACGCTTCGTCGTCATCGGATGAAGACGAATTGAATTTCGAGGATACAATGAGCGAGAGGAAGACAACGGAGCTATCTATGCTAACGGAGAGAGTGGATCCCTTGTGAATCCGTTCTGGTCGACCCGGAAGCCCATGGTCAACCCCATCGAGCTTGGCTGTTGTGGCCTCAGTCATTAGCTTTGGGCGACAAGACCCTTGCTAGATACTTCTATCTAATGTACCCTACGTCTACATTGAGGAATACAGTATCGGCGACGAACCACAACCTACAGAAGAACCAATACCGCCGTATCAATGTGGGAGACTTGTTCAAATGGATAGGAATTCGATTAGCGATGGGGCCATGCTTCACAGGACGGTAGCGTTAGCACTGCAGCCAACTTTAGACAGCGATTTGGAATGACAAGACATTGTTTTGAGCAAATTTTGAGCTGCATGTCGTTCGGTGAATCTATCGTAGAAGGCGATCCGTGGATGCCAATAAGACCTATTCTAAATGGATTCAATGAACGTCGCCAGCAAGTTGTTTCGCCCGGAAGTGTACTTCGTGTAGATGAGTCAATGAGTGCGTGGAAGGGTAAACAGGGGAAGTATTGTCATGATGGCATCCCACACAAGACAAAAATTGTTCGAAAGCCTGCAGGTTTGGGTGCTGAGCTGAAGGCTATCGCCGATGGTGACACAGGTACTATTTTGAGCTTAGAACTCGTTGCAGGAGTCATACGACAACGTCAGAAGCCCTACGCAGCAGAGTATGGTGAAGGAACTGCAGTTATGTTGCGGCTAGCGGAAAAATTTCGTGGAACTGGTCGTACCGTAGTTACAGATAGTGCATTTGCATCGGTGAAAACACTTATTCAACTTGAGGCACGAACAGGACTTTTCTTCATGGGCATGGTGAAGACAGCCACAGTGGGGTTTCCCATGAAGTATCTAAAGAACGGGTTTGCTACTGGCCCAAAGCGAGGCTCTTTCAAAGTTCTATCCAGCATCACTGACATGGGTACAACAATGTACGCAGCATGTTGGGCGGACAGAAAACCAAAAACAATTATTGCAAACCGTGGAACAACGCTACCAGGTAAAGATGCAGTTCGTCCACGACATCGTTTGATTGAGCGTGATGGAATAGTGGAGACACTGCGGTATGAAATACGAGTTGAACGCCCGCAAATGATAGAGTGCTTTTTTTCCAAGTTCTCTACAGTCGATGTGCACAATCATTTGCGTCAAGGAAGTCTAACACTAGAAAGAGAGTGGGCAACAATGTTTTGGGACAATCGCTTGTTTAGTACGCTTCTCGGAATGATTACTGTCGATGCGTACCTCGCGTACCGCTACGAGGCTTGTGAAAGCCATTCAGAGAACACCGTACTTGACTTTCACGGGTTTCTATCTCAACTAGCCCACCAGCTCATTTTCAATGACTTCCATTCTGCTAGAACAACCCGCAGCAATGCCGATGGCTCCACAGTTGAAGATGACATGCCTGCACCTCATAATATCGAGCAACTAACCCGGCTTCCTCAGTACGCAGCAACACGAAAGAAGAACTATCGTGCTCAGCGTGAATGCAACTTGTGCAACGAGAAAGCCTCATACTATTGTGTAAATTGCTCAGATACAGCTCGGGGAGGGGGGGGGGGGGTTATTGCGTCTGCAGGCCACGATCCAAGCGAGATTGCTTTACCAAGCATCTCTCCACTTCAATTTGACTTTTCTCTAAACGTCATATGGATTTCAATACAAACTCCTATACAAACTAACTTTGCCCGAGCATACTAGTATGCTTTGCTCCTGTCTACTTGTATAATTTCGACCTGGAGAGTTGTCACCTCTGTTAATTTGAGATAGTGGCTACGATAAGGGATCAAGGCCGGATAAAACTCCTTTGCATGACAATCTTCTTATCTTAGCCAAATGCCTCTGAAGCTCCTGAGCCAACCAAAACCCAGAACTCGAACTTGTACACGTAGCACTGTCGTACGTACAGTAGGTAACTCTAAAGTTTTCAGTGGTTTTGAGCTATCTCTATCTCCGTTGAGTTTCAGAAGCTCTAAGCTACCACTAGCTATCGTTATACTAGTACTTCACTAATCACTACAATGCTACTAGGCAAGTAGTACTAGCTGCATAAACACCAAAATCTTTCCGAGTACTTAAGTAATCGCAACAGTGGGTATTACTTGGTTAGAGCGCGTGACAGATATTACATTAGAATATCACCTTCTTGAGAACTAATAAGTGGTGACTTCCGTGCCTTTCCGCGTATAAATTGCAATGTAGTTGCTCAAAAACCGTTTATGGCAGCAACACACAAAGCTTACGCCGAACCATCGGGCATCAGCGTCATGGCACCAGATCCCGACGAGTTCCTGTCAAACATAAGCTTGTACGCAAGGTAGATGACATAGCCACCAACAGTGGCGCCCAGCGCAATCTTGGCGAACTTGCGGAGACGAGGCCACGACTTGGGGTTCTTTTGCGCCGTTGTGGCAATCGTAGAGGAGAGCTTGGCAATCTGCTCGTCGTTCGTCTTGACCGCATCCTTGGCAGCAGCGAAGGCCGTGATGGCCTTCCTCACAGCAACCTCGTCGCCGTCAGACGCCTGGACGGCTTTAACAGCCTTGGTCAGAGCGGTTTTCGTCCGCAGATTCTCGAGGAATCCACCGGCAATCTTAGCAACGTTGTCTTTGTTATTGATAGCTGGGATCTTGGCTGCGTGACTGTGACCATGACCGTGACCGAGACCGGGAAGATGAAAATGACGTTCCTCATCGACAGACTCGGAACTGGCAAAATTGGAGTAGCACACCAGGAAGGTGGCCACAAGTAGGACGACGAAAGCGCTGAAACGCATTGTTGAGTTTTGGAGCTTTGAAAGAGGTAGCAAATTCGGGAATGACGAATTGTTTCGGGAAATGTCAATCTCCACTGGCAGTTTGTTCACACCTTGAGTCATTGGATAGAATTGCTGCGTAAGGCTACCATGGATCTGTGAAGTTGTAGGGACAAATCTGGACCACCTACATGCCGATTTGCTTTCATGGGCAAAGCCCAAGATGGCACACGTCGGAAAAAACCTAACGATAAAAATTATTAACCAACAGGACCAGGTTGCTCACGAGCTTTGGGCCAATGGAAATCTTCCATCGAGTTTGCAGCCTGCTCTTTGCACGCGAGTCACCACCGCGGCCGCGGTGGCAGTGCCGCAGTCCGCAAAACCACGGGCCACTCAAGTCTGAGCGGCCCAGGCTGAACCATTGGGTGAGGAATAATCAGCGTCTGGTCAGTGGCCAGGAGTCACCATTGACCACATCCGCCTTCGGATCTAGTGCATTGTTCCAAAGACGGTAAACTGCGCATACAAAAAATAGGGTCATTCTGCGATGCAGGTTCGTCGTATTAGAGAATTCCAACATTCCGCAATACTAAAAAAAAGATATAATAAATGCTAGATGAAATAGACGGCATGCTGACAAGTTGCTTAGTCCCCAATACTCCTCCAACGAGAGATTCGACAGTGACTACCGCAATTCATCCAGCTCCTAGCTGAAAACGAGAACACTGGGCTCGATCGCTGCTATGTTTGGAAACAATGAAGCTAGAACATCACAATAAGTGTTGTCGCATTTGGGGTTTTCCGTCTACTGGTAGAGTTTCCTTCCTATTGAAACGTCAGTCATTAATCTGGACAACTCTGTGCAGGTACCACCGGAAAAGAACTATGTGGTCGCGACACAAATGTTGTATTGCGGCACTGGGAGTAAGAAAATACACACAAACGCATAGACACAGAGAAATGAGATAATCTATTCGATAAAGATTTTTTTATCGTGTATTGATCAGGTTACCAGTATTATGTTGCAATATCAGCGCACTGGCATGTTTTGGACGCTCGCGTAGTGAAGGTTTGCTTCTTGAATCAGGCTACCACACCAGAGGTACTGACTGACCCAAGAGACAAACTCTCAATGCCCGTAGAGGTGCGCGCACTTGGAACCTACCTATTATAGACATAAAAAAAAGTTTTTGAGCCATACCTAAGAAAAACCTGGTCCGCCACCTAAATTTCTCTTTGCTGAATCAGGAAAAAATAATAATTTGCCCTATTCGTGCAGCATCCAAGTACATGTAGTACTTGGGTGTTGTTCGAGAGAATACGGCGCAATAAATACTGGTTGTAGTAGGTCGCTTGTTTTTGGTCTTTATGAGGTTCTTCAAAAACATGTAATATCCGGTAGTATTTCTACTTGAATTGTTTGTCGAAGGCTCCATGGTGTTACCAATCGAAGTAAGGAAGCAAAGATACTTCATTACAGCGGCTGCGAAGCAGGCTCAGGAGGTATGCGGGATATACACTTACACGGTCTTTTGCACTGTTCGTACCCGCATGTTACCGACACTGGCTTGAATAACTTGTGTGGAAAGGTTTTCGAACTGCCCGTTTACATAGCTGGATGCTCGTTCGAAGCACTCGATATCGTGTGGTACGCAGAGCACGCTTGCTTCAGTGGTAATGAAACTTGCTTTACCACGCTGTGTGATTTGGGTCGTCTACAGTATCCATCTCTATGGTGTCCTCCTGCTGTGGCTGAAAGAGTCTCCTTCCAACTGCTCTTGAAGCTTGACCCTTCAGGTTATTGACACTTAGCCAGCCCAGCGAACGTTGTCACCGCTGGGTGGTTGCTGGAGTTGCGCTCTAGCCATTGAACTGAATCTTACCACCGGTAGTTGCGAGAGCTCTGGTCCTTTCGCGACCAAGGATAGTTCCATCTGCCATTGTTTGTATCTTCAGCAGCCTCTCACTGCGTCACGGCCATTTCCAATTGTCCATACGAATAAATGATGCAGCATCCTCTCCGCTCCGTGTCACTTCATGTACACTGTGTCAGCCTTCGCTTCAAAGAATCCCACTCTATATTCTGCTTCTCAGTCCAGGAAATTGATTAAATGGAGCGGCTCTTGATTCCATCATTACGACTCAGCTTGACATCTCTTTCCTTCGAGGAGCCTGCAATCATGATAACCGTACCACCACACGAAGGATATGTACCAACGCATCGTAACATCTTTGTTGTGCATACCTCCCCCGAGGTCATGCTTCATCCATTAGCTGCCTTTGGCTTCATTGAACAAGCTTCTCCGTCACTTCAGTTTTTGTTTACCTCACGCCCGTCATTTCCGTCTTCGTGTAGCAGGGGGCCTGGGAACGCGATGTGACCAATTCAGGGCGCATCGTGGCTTCAGCCACCTCCAAACGAGTCTACTGGTCCCAGATTCGTTCATACAACTGATGGAGCAGCTTCTCCAGAGCTCTGCCGCCTCCTCGGAAATTCGCCATCACCACGTGCATTTAGAATGACTTAAGTTGATTTTCCGATGCATTCCGTATATTGATCGCTCCTCGTCAGGGTCGCTATGATAAACATTTTAGAAGCACTTTCAGACTGCGTACAGGACCTCATCCATTCCCGAAGTTACTGTATGCCTCGCGTTTGACCTCCAAATTCGCACTCATCGTCGTCCCACCCAAAGGAGGCATTCATCTCTCAATACAGTAGGCAGTAGAGAAAGTGGATGAACCGCTTTTCAGTCCAACATTGCGATCCCTACCTTTCGACTTCCCGCACGGTAGCGCCATCATGGCTTGCTCTCGTGTGTACCGTTGCTCCATTCGCCATTCGTTTACTTCATTAATAAACAACAGTCATCGCCTCGTCGAGCACCAGCTCTCGGGTTTTCGTCGTGTTGTGTCGCTGTCAGGAGTCTCAAATCAGCACATACCACCTATGGGTTCCCTTTTGCCGGACGAACTACGAGCAGCAAAGTGATCATTTTCAGCTCCCACTTCAGTTGATCCAATACATGTAGCTAGGCCATTATTGCCTGTTTGACTCCGTGACGTACACTGCCAGCTCTAGTAAATTACCAGTGGTCATTCCATTATGCCAAGTTTAACTTTGGCGTCGCTGGCTCTTTCGGAGAAACCATACGGACGATGCGGATAGGTTAATGGATAATTACTTCTTTGAAGTTCAGTTTAATATGATTCAGTCGTTGTTTTACTCAGAAGGCTTACTGACATTCAGTAGCAGGGATTGCCTATCCGATTAGCATTCCTGAGCAAAGCCCAAGATATTTGAACTGTCCTTATGTTTTTTTTGCTGGAACATAAACTGAGTCGATCGAGTCATTGGAATCCTGCTCATCTTTGTTAGAAACCACTAACCGCATTTCTAACGAATGGAAAAAGTGTTCACGTTGAATTTATTATAAAAAAACCGTATTTTTTTACAATTTGTGCCATTGCTTGTGTTTTCTACAATGCACCCTGCACAATTTTTAACATGTCGTCTAATTGTGGTCGAACATTGCAAGCATGGCCTATAGAAACGAGGAAAAGACGGTTGGCAAAAAAAGAACCATTTTGAGCACTTTTGAACGCTTAAAGTATTTACAGCTAATAGCATGGTTAAAAAAACCAAATCCTCACTATCCCACCTAATCTTCAATAAAAGGAAATCATTTTTATCACACAGAGTACTTTGTTAATATATGCAGGTCGCTTTACGTACGGACGGAACATTACACATATGCTCCGATAATGCAGCCTAACCCTCTCGGAAAAGCCATTTAGGCTTAATTTTAGGTTTACGCTTGGAATAGAAATGAAACAAAACAATACTAATGTACAAGTTTTTCCCTCGCAAGTAACGCTCTGTGACACTATTCTGAGGGTACCATATGTACTATTCCGAGGTAGGAATTCTACCAAAAGAGAAAAGGCTTTACAATCGGTCCGCAAACAAGGTCTTCCCGATAGGCGCTGGTATCTGGTGCAAGCGACTGTCAGTGACAAGATAAAATTTATCTATTCGACAGGCTATGCAATGGAGCGACGAAATTTGGCGACACCACGCATGATTGGCAAATGCTGTCAACACAGTACAGTAAACCAAAGCTATCACTAGCGCTCGTACACCTGGAGGAATGACGTCGGCTTAAACGAGTTTAACTATGCATACGTCCCAAACACTTCGTTCACTATACTTTAGTAAACTTGTGAAAGGTAACGAACATTGTAAAGACACCTATCATTCAAGCCTCACTCAGCTCTCCTAATGCAAATACATGAGAGAAAGGCCTGCATTATTATCAACACAGAAACGAAAATAACAAAGATGGATTTCAAACCTTTTGTATGTATCATTGATACTAGCATTGCATTGTTACTGCGCGAAAAACAAACCTTGCCTATCTAGTTTGGTGCTTCTATCCAAGACGTGAAGACGTTCAAGACTTTCTCGCTTGTAAACTGCAAACCGGAAGAGAATGCTCAAGAATATAGTCAAAACCGTTGAAGCCATTCTTACGCCGAGCCAGTGGTGGTTGTAGTAGTCGCAGCCGTCGATGACTTCCTGTCGAACAGAGCCTTGTATGCACCGTAAATAGCGAAACCGGCAACAGTGCCTCCAAGCGTAATCTTGGCGAACTTGCGGAGACGCGGCCACGACTTGGGGTTCTTCTGCACGGTGGTAGCCATCATCGCCGAAATCTTAGCGACACCCTCGTCGGTCATCTTAACACTATCCTTAGTGGCAGCGAAGGCCGTGATGGCCTTCCTCACAACAGCCTCATCACCATCAGAAGCCTGGATGGCCTTGACGGCCTTCGAAAGAGCCGTGTTGGTCTGCAGCTTCTCGAGGAATCCACCGGCGATCTTAGCAACGTTGTCTTTGTTAACCGGGACAGGGGCAGCCTCGACACGAAGACGACGGTCCTGGACACTTTCGGCGGAGCAGCACGCCAAGAAGGTGGCCACGAGCAGGGCAATGAAGACGGTGAAACGCATTGTTGAGTCTAGAAGGAGTCTTCGGAAAGGAAGCAAATTCGGGAATGGCAATTGTTGGGGGGAAATGCCAGCCTCCACATCCATGATTCTTTAGAAAAGAGCCGTTATTGTATACAAACGAGGTGGAACAGAATCGGGATCACCAATCCGATTAGCTTTCCTGGGCAAAGCCCAAGATGTTCGAATCGTCCATATGTCGGCAAGCACAACCAAATCATTATCAGCTGGACCAGGTTGCTGCAACTCTCAGTCCGTGAGTCTTTAACCAATGGGAGTCTACCATACGTTAGCATCCTGCTCTTTGTGCTTGTCAAAGTTCTTCTAATTCTACAGCAATGCTGTAACAGCATCGGGTCGGACATTTCATTGCTACTTCTAAAAGGTCTGGTCATTGCCGCTGGGTGGCCGAGGCGGGGTCTGAGCGAGGGGGCTCACCTTCTGCCCCCAGAGGCCATAACTTGATGCCTACATTTGCTTGTCCCTTTCGGACGCTTGTATAAGGTGTAATCATGCTGCTTTACAGGTCCAGGTACTGGTCTATATGTGCCACAGCAGTTATACCTTCTGAATTTATCTTGGTTAGAATAATTAATATATCTTCTGAAAGATTTTTGATGGTACCTGTGGATACATGTACCGGGCATTTTTGAGCGTGTATACCAGTACGGAAGCTTTAGAGAGGTGGCAGACAGCTCAGGTTACTAATATACGACCTCACACTGCGCTCTGAGCACATGTACCTGCCTTTTTTGTCCACAAGTGAGGAATTACACGAACGAATTCAACCACTGGGTTCACCAAAGCAAAAACTAAATTAGCAATAGAGTAAAAAAAAACATAATATAGCTCAGTTCTTTTAACTCTGTTAATTAAGGGAAGATACCATGTATTACGAAGGAAAGAAAATCGCACAGACAAATTCGTGAAAAACACAGAATGTGAAATAGATGCTTTTAATAGAGGGCGGTAGTGAGCGGGTGTGAGGAGCGTAGCCGAAGCAAACCCGAGCAGGGTGCCCGCGAAGCAGGGCCGCTCGGTATTTGCGTAGACGGACCCAGCGACGAACTCATCAGTGAATGGACCCGTAACACTCTCCAGAACATTTTTTTCTAATGCGGGGGTCTGGGGGTGCAACCCCCAGTATGCTTTTAGTAGTGGCCCTTATAATGATATTTCTGTGGAATTCATCCGTAGGTTCTGTGGATTTGCTTATTCTGACTGTGCTATTCTACCGCTCTCATGTATTACCTGCACGAAGATTTTCGTGCAGTTGACGTTAGGATTGAAGTTAAAATTATGATTTGTGTCTCTCGCGCAATTCGGCAATCTGAATAGTTTGGCGATTTGAAGGTCGGCAAAGTACAGTGTAATGCTAAACCCAGCCACCATTCGATTCGCGATTCGCATGTTGAAAATGGTGAGTTGCGTGCAGTAACGGACAAATAATGTCCCTCATTTGACCTGGTGTTTGAGCCTCAAACACCAGGGTCAATGCAGCCAAAAGTGTTTACAGCCGCAGTATAGTGCATTAATCGTAGTAATGTAAAGCAATGGGTTGCGTTTTCGCATAGCTTATTACTCCAGCGCTAGTCTCTAGTCTTATTTGAATTAAATACCGTCTTCATCTAGACTCTATCTTAAGATATACTAGTACTAAGTTTTTGTCAAAGCAATTACTTGCACGGCGAAATGATACGATTACCGTGATGGACACAAGGATAATGGCCCGTTATTAACGGACCTGGTCTTCGACTACAGTTGTACTGTACAGTTCATGTATGGTGCATGCTCAAGAAGAGATTGGCATCTGTGTGACGATCAGTGATCGATTGCCAACGGCTCTCTAGAGTCTCGGTGACCGAGAAGTTCTCGGCGAGAACCGTTGGGGCCCAACTTGGGCATCTCACCTCCAGTACACCGTGCTGGTACAGTAATACCACTGGTATTACCAGCCTGGTATTGCGGCTGGCGACCAGAAATTGACTGGTCCAGTCGTGCAGTTTCAGACTGGAATCTCGCAGTAGACAGACAGCATGGGTCCAATTACGACTGGTTCGTCGTGTACGTAAACTACTGTACATGTATAGTCTGTATAGTACAGTGGTTTCCGGTACTTGCGGTAGTTTGTCATAAAACACCGTAAGTACAATGTACGAAGTAGCATGCATGTACTGTGGTATCCCGATTTGTTCCATAGGTACAGAATGCATTATGGGGTGGATCATTTGTCATTGATTGAACTATTTGCAAAATAATCGCAATAGTTAGCAGACATGAAAGGTTATTGGAAAGTAGCGAGGGACCTTCAGTATAGAGGGTTCCACTGTACTACTACCCGTGCAGAATTATGAGGTTCGTAATCCTAAAATACGAAATGGCTACTTCAAGCATAGGCCAATGTCTGATTTTGGATCTGTTCGGGCGGGGCTTTTTTCCGCGTGAGTTTTCGCGGTTTTCCGGTGTGCTTGTGCTGGTCATGAGTGTGGTGTGGTTTTCCGCGTGCGCTTTTGCGCGTGTACCGTATTTGTCGGATCTAGTGAGACACAAATAATTGGTCGCAAAAATAAAACCTCGTTTAGGTTTTTCAATAAGCGCGCAAATGACTCCCGCCTCTCATTCAAGAACAAGATACAGTACGTGTCCTTTATATATATTTTGCATTTGCTAGCTTTCTAATATTTATGTAGAGATCTATATCTCGAATGGCACAGGGACCATGATTTTCTAGAAGCGCAAGTGAGCGTCGTTTGCTTTTGTCTCATATAATTGGTAACGCTTGTCGAAGATTAAGCATTTCGTAGCACAGAAAGAAGACTTAAACGCGGGATGGCGGGCGAATGCCTCCGGGATCTTGGTTGGAGCTTGGCGAGGTAGAGGAACTTTCGGAAGTGACAAAGTCTCTCGTCGACAAGCAGCGACCTCATTGATCCTACATACATTATAAATAACTACAGTACTGTTGGGATCCTTCAACTATGTAACTGAGGACGTTGGCATAAGACACCAGAGAGAGAGAATCTCCGACAACGCTTGGGTATGGTGGACAAGGAGACCATTATCAGTGGCTTTAGAAAAGCAAACCATAATCCTAAAGGCCCTCGAGATGCCAATGGCAAGTTTAGGACTTACTTGTTGCCACCTCCGGAAGATGCGGTTGTGCCTGAGTAACTTCAAATCACAGAACTTGTTTGGATTTCGATATATTATATTTTCGTTATTGTCGCATTTCATTAATTTAAAGAGTTTTGTAAGTGAATCAGAAGGGGTGTCACCCTTATGAATTTGATGTCTTAGTTGATCCGTATCGATCCGACAAATACGGTAGGTTTTCCGCGTGTTGTATTGGCTTTCCGCATGAAATACTGGTCTCGCATAAAAAGTGTAATGGTTCAATATTAGGCCATTCGATACTGGGTCGTACCAATTGATAAATTTACTGTCACTCACGAGTAGTGGTGGCGACATTACCGTTTTTAACGCAGGTAAATGCTACTTTTTTAGTATCTGGTTCGAGTTGGAGTTAAGTTGATACCTCGCTGATAACACGCGCCAATTCGCTTGCTCAACGTCTTTTAAAAATGAAAAACCAAAAATAGGTACGTAAACTACCACAACTACATTGGCACACTGGTTTTGGGTCGTGCGTTTAACGTCTCCCGTGGAAGCAGTACTTACCAACTTGGCACTGGTAATACCAAGCAGCTCCTTCTGTAAGACATAGACCATGGCTTGAAGAGTATCATCATCTTGGCGGCGCTCCATTCCCTGCAACTGATCGGGCCAGGCGGCTGGAGACTGTTGTCGTACTTCTTCAGTGAAAATTCTTTACTACATCATTTCTCATTTTGCCACCAGCTCCTCGAGGCCTGAACACGTCTTGCAAGATGGAGAATGAAGACGACGGAGCAACCGTCTTGCATCCGGCAGACCTATACACGACCCCATCACGGCCGCCTCGGGTTTCTCATCAAGCATCCGTGGGAGCGAGATCAACACAGCGTCGTGCAGCGTCTGCAACATCGGTGGGGGCGAGATCATTACAACGCCGGGCTGCGTTTGCAAGGTCACCTGCTCCGCGAAGAATTTCACCGCGACAGAATGCTTCAAGACAAGGCAACGCAGCGTCAGGCCCAGCGCCTTCTTCACTACCCAGCACGGCGAGCTTTTTCGATATGACCCAAGCAGCGTATGAAGGCGTACTGGTAGTTCATCGTGTTGGTTGCTGATGAGATATATACTAACGTCCCGACAAGTGCAGTAACAGTTGCTCATGCAAAATTTGGCTGGTGCCAACGGTGCAATGCAAAGGTTGACGTGTGTAAAGGTCGAAATGACGCCGGGCCTCACATGAAGCGCTTCCATCCTGAATACCTGAGAGCGTACACGCAAAGACAGGAGAAACAACAGAGTCAAACCGCTGCTAGACGGCTGGTTAACATCTATGAGTCAGCCAACGTCGACGAAGGCATTGATGAACCAGCAACCGACGTCGATCAGAAGCGCTTCGTTGACTTGCTGGTTCAGTGGATCGCGTCGGACTTACGCCCTCTTAGTACTGCCAACGATGCCGGTCTTATTGCAACCATCGAGTTTGCAAACAGCGTAAGGGGAAGGCTGCGAATTCCAGCTCGCCAAACTACGACGTCGCGATTGCAGATCAGAGCCGCAGAGTTTCGTTCTTCGCTTCGGATTCGGCTCAGTGACAAGGGTGAATGTCTATACTTTTCTGTTTCGTCCGACATTTGGACTTCGTTGTGTGCAGAAAGCTTTATCAGTTTCACGCTGCACTATGTGGATGAAGACTTCGACATGCACAAATGGACATGCACAAATGGACGCTTGAGGTAATAAGCATCCCTGGTAAGCACAATGCCCCTGCTATTGCTGCTGCACTACTACCGTGCTTCGACAATTGGAATCTGGATCGAACGTTGTGTGTTCGGTTTCTTCGGGATGGAGCTCCAAACATGAAGAGGGCATGTGACCAGATCGGCGTGACAAGTATGTCGTGCATCGCACATTCACTTCATCTCGTTGTTGGTGCTGCGCTCATTCGCAAGCCTAGCGATTTGCCACTGACAACGTCTGTGGACGATATCAATGACACAATCGGCATCAACCCTCGTGATGTCAACAATTCCGATGCTTCTGGCAGCAGTGACAGTGATACTAGCACGTTGCGCGCAATGGCCTCAACCGCTTCACTGGGAAGGGGAATGACAAGTGAGGACAACCGGGACGATGACGACAGCGGCTTGGATGAGCCCATCGATCCGGACGAGGTAATTGCCATTTGTGAGCAAGTGGCAGAATTCGTTCAAGACTGTGAAATGGCTCCTGGCGATCTTGAGCGCATACGCCAAATCGTTCGGCGATTTCGCAAGCTCGCCGAATATTTCCATCGCATCCGGCAAGGCCAAGTGTGTGTGTATTGGCCGATTATATATCGGAAGGTTACGTGACGGCTTTATTGTGCCTATTTGCACGTGTTGGGGAGAGCGAGTTGCC